AATACGATAAGAGCAGCATAGACGCTAGTTCAACCCCAAAATCCCATACTACCTCTTCATAACAAATGTGTGGATTTGACCCCTCTATGTTTATTTTTCTTACTGTTGACTTGTTCAATCTGTCCTTTTGGATGAGCTTTGCTCTGAACGTGTCCCAGTTATTAGACAAGATGCTTCCTAATGATGGTCAGGTTTGGCAACTCCTAGTTGATTGAAGCTTTAACGCCAGTTTTACATTTTTGCAAACGCAAGGTGAGATTGGTGTCCAGTGTGTACGCTGACTTGTCCGCTTTGAATCCAAGTCCTAGAAACTGTGCTGCATGTGTAATTGGGAGTTTTCATTTCCCTCATGTCGGAATACTGACAGCCCTCACATCTGGTTAATCTTTTTGGTAACTCGAGTTAGTTTATGCATGAAAATAGGTGCATCTTTCATCTTGGTTTCATCATTCACTTGCCACACTGCCAACTCATTGAATTTATTGGCTTTTGGGGTATGCTCATTCCCTCTCCTCCTCCTCCTCCTCTTTGTTGCAGGCAGAGGAGAATACAATGCGCTGTCCAATCTGTCGCGAGACCATCATTGTTCCACGAGGTGGTGGAGGTGCAGCCACCTTTCCTCCCGCTTTCATTGTCAACCAACTGCTGGACTTGATGGCTAGTCAACGACATCCAGGACAAGAATTGCTCTTTTGTGAAATCTGTGATGTTATCTTCTCTCCAGATTGTCGTGGTGACAACACTAGGTCAGTTGTTCATCCTCTTGCTATCACGTGTGCCCATTTTAATGATTGGAATATGTGTAGTTGGGCATTTAGGAGATTTAAAGGTGTGGAATGGTGATCAATGGAATAAGCAGAACTCTATTTTATTTGAGATCAGGTGTCTTCTGCGTCTTTAGTGTCTCTCTTTCAATGTCACCCAATATTAGATTAGAATCACTGAGCACTTAAGACTGGACTCCTTTAATCTTAAATAATAGTTCCACTTAAAAAACGAATAGACAATCTCTCTTCCAGCTTTGCGTACAGAGAACCTCCACGATGGAATATAATACACTGACCGAATCATGATAAATGATTTGTCCGGCATTTATTGTCAGTCTGATGAGTTAATAATTAAGATTCACCATAGGACAGTTAAAATAAACGAAAGAAATTAGTCAATTTGAAGATTCTTGTGCTTCTCGGGTTTCAGTAGCATTAATATAATGGTTGCATGGCTGTTTCAAGACTCAATGTGCATAACTACACCGTCAGCGAGTAGGACTCGAGTTTCAAACGCCTCTATCCAATACTAATGCTGGAAGTGACTTTTTTAATTTATCCTATGAGTTTAAATATCCTGTTCAGGGCCTTCTTATCTCCTTTATCCAGAAACACTAGGATGTAATGCTAAAATATGCAACAGTTTTACTAAAATGTTAATTAGACATCCGTCTTTTGTAAATTAAAATAGTCCGATACACGACGCCAATAATTCGATTGACGCGATGAGGTGGGTATAGCACAAACACTAGATAGTCACGTGAATCTAAACTTCTACTGGCCATACTTGCCCTGATTCGAATTGGAATTTAGGAACAAAATACATCTCCAAACCAGGTGGTCACAACTTCTTGGCGTGTCTCTAGGCCCGTGTCGTGTAGCAGGAAGTAGTTATGCCCCCCTTGGTGACCGAGCTATTGGCACTGGCCTGCTTCGAGGTTCGATGCCCATAAGTACACCGTCAGTGAGTAGAACTCGAGTTTCACTCCCCTCTATTCATATGCGAATATGGTCCCATTGTGTATCGGCCATAGACTTACCTCTACGTAGCGCATCCTGGGCAACGTATACTCATAAAGCGAAAAAGTCAATAAACTGGCAGTTGACTTCTGACTTCAAACTATCATGACTCGACTGTATGACATATTCGACCCCTCCAGCAGTACTCATCTTACCTTTTCTCTGCCTTTGTGTCCGTCTGTCTCTTTTACATCTTTGGATCACTCTTCTGTTCCCCCTCTCGACTTTTGTGACTTTGATATTCTTTTCCTCCGTGAAGCTTGAAGTCAGCTAAAGGGCTAATGATAGTATTATAAAGCCCGCCATTTGATATAAATAAATAAATATTTACATGCGAATATTAGAAATGGCCTTCCTGACTTTTTTACCCAGAATCATAGGGATGTAATGCGTTTCACAGTAAAGGACATTAATTTTGAATGAAATCCTTTAAAAATTGTGTTTACTTCCCAGTTTATTAAACCCTTTCTCAAGCGTCCAATTGCTTAGTACCGACCAGCCTTTGTTTCATTTAATGAGACTGTCAAATTTATCTTTGGGTGTGTGCGATAGACTTACCTCCACGTGGTGCACCGTGGGCAACGTATACTAATATGGCAAAAAAGTCTATTAATCGGCAGTTGACTTCTGACTTCAAAATACCATGGCACGACTGCTTGTCATATTCGACCCCTTTCACAGTACTCATCTTAACTTTTTCTCTACCTTTGTGTCTGTCTGCCTCTTTTACATCTGTGAATCGCTCGTCTGTTCCATACCCCTCGACTTTCTGCTACTTTGATGAACCTTCCCTCTGTGAAGCCCGAAGTCACCTAAATGGCTAATGATAGCTATGAAAACGCCCGCCATTTGAAATAAATGTTTAACAAAGGCAAGAATTAAATAGATGACAGTATACTTCTCGGAAAATCCAAGACCAGGAAATTTGTGTATCACAAGTAAAAATAGGAGATTTCTCGCATTAAAATGAAATTGGTTATGGAGACTAATTGAAAAAATACAAAGTAGCACACCTGATCAAATTCGCGTATTTCAAAATGTTGTCAGAATCTTTGTTTTCTCCCACGAATATGCATGTTGAGAAGCTCTAGGCCAATGAGAAACGAAGCAATTTCGTATACCCGGTCATTTGGATTTCCTGCCAAATAGCTCCTTAAGTAGGAAGTACAGCATACTTGCTTGCGTGTCAAAAATTTGGGAAACTTGAACAATGGTAAAAACTCCCAAACAACGAATGGAAACTTATATATTAATTTCAAATGGCAGGCGTTTTGATAGCTATCATTAGCCATTTAGCTGACTTCGGGCTTCACAGAGGGAAGGTTCATCAAAGTAGCAGAAAGTCGAGGGGTATGGAACAGAAGAGCGATTCACAGATGTAAAAGAGGCAGACAGACACAAAGGTAGAGAAAAAGTTAAGATGAGTACTGTGGAAGGGTCGAATATGACAACCAGGGGGGTCGTGGTAGTTTGAAGTCAGAAATCAACTGCCAGTTAATAGACTTTTTTTGCCGTATGAGTATACGTTGCCCAGAGTGCACCACATGAAGGTAAGTCTATCGCACACCCCACGAATGGAAACTGATTGTGGGGAGTTAGAATAGACACAAAATGCATACGCATTTGGTTAACGTCATCACGACAAATGCCAACATAATTTTTAGGAAACTTGGACGTGGCTCTTCGTCCGTTCTGAACTATTATTCCGCAGACAAATTAAACAGCAAAAGTGTGCCATTATTTCGAATTCTTTAGTTTTGCGAGAACTAAATTACGTGGGTGCTTAATATTCGTATTGATTAAAATAGGTTTTTGTTGAATTTAACGGATCATTTAACCTCGTAAACTTCGATGTATTACAAAAGTATTAATTCATAGGGGATCCGTGATCCACTCAATAAAATGAGGTGTATTGTGGGTGGATCGTTTTAAATACTCCTTACTTTCAGCCAATCGATAAAAAGCACCATTTTTCTCTCCTTGAATGGCTTCTAGGAATGGAGCTCCAAGCTTTTGTTGAAAAATTATATGTTTTTATTTAAAAAGTGGAAATGTCCTTGAAATAATATTGATGGAACTAGGACTCAATCAATTTTGTTTAAACCGGTCACGCAAAAGGGATGACAATTTTAAATTTGANAATTTGAGAAGCGAATGAAATCGCTTGTAGGAATTTAAATCAATGATAAGGCGGAGGGATCGATGAGGTACTGAAGACGTCTCACTTATCTGCAGTGTCGGTAGTATAAAGTGTTCACTTTCTTGGGTGGTTGAAGATCCAAAATTCAATTTGTTTTTAACTCGTAAGCCGGATTGTGCCGGGCGTCTGGCTATGACATCCGGCACTTATCGACGTCATATGCACTAATACTAGTCGGTTTTGTCATATCAAATTCAGTTTTGGAATTTCAATTGCCGGAAGGTAAACCGATTTTACTTAATATACTGAAGCGCATTACCTCATTTATAAGCAAGCCATACGTTCATTTGAGCTTCATGTCTGCCACGGAGCTTAGTCATTAAGATACAAAGAAGAGTTTGTTAGACATTGCAATAATTATTGATTGGTGACTGGCTGAGAGGTCACTACTTTCACTAGCACGCAACGCAACTAGTAGCGCGGACGCACCTTCGAAACCGTCTGATTGCCCATGAGATTTCTTTGTGCAACCATGGCAGTGATTGTTCACTCCACAACATAACAGTTTTCAGTCTTAGTATAGTAGATATTTATTTATATCAAATGGCGGGCTTTATAATAGTTATCAATAGATCTTTAGTTGACTTTGGACTTCACAGAGGGGAGGAACAGACAAAGTGAGAAAAAATCGAGAGGGGGAGGGGACAGAAGGGTGATTCACAGATGTAAGAGAGACAGACAGACACACAGACACAAAGGCAGAGAAAAGGTGAGGTGAGTACTGTGGAAGCGATCGAATAAGACTTACAGTCGGGCCATGGTAGTTTGAAGAGAGAAGTCAACTGTCGGTTAATAGACTTTTTTGCCGTACGAGTACACGTTGCCCAGGCTGCATCACATGGTGGTAAGTCTATCGCACACCCCAGTATTGTAAATATGATCTACTATTAAATTTCTACCGAACATGGGTAATATTCCATCCACTTCTCCGGGTTTTCAGAATATTCCTGTTTAAACATAACAAAAATTTAAATTTTACACCAATTCTCCTGGAGAATTTAGTTTACATTTATTAGCCTGAACTAAAATGGGGTAAAAATAATAATGGTAGGTTAAAAATACCACGGCACTCAAATAGAGTAGTATAATGTAATCAACAGAACTGTGAAATATTGACTTTCATTTCGTTGAACTACATATATTCATAGCTAAACATAACATTTCACCCAATGGATCACATATTGTCAAAAGGGTGTAACTCTACAAATAGCTCCACGCCTAGAAACACACAAGCGCGTTGGTGACGATTTGAGTCGAACGTATATAGCCAAATTAAAGTTTATTTATTTATATCAAATTGCAGGCGTTTTGATGGTTATCATTAGCCCTTTAGTTGACTTCAGGCTTCACTGAGGGAAAGGAACAACAAAGTGAAAAAAAGTCGAGGGGAGGGGAACTGAATAGTGTTTCAAAGACGAAGGTTGAAAATTTAGAAAAAATGTGATGTAGTACTGTGGCAGTGGTTGAATATGACATACCGTGGGGTCATGGTAGTTTGAAGTCAGAAGTCAACTGTCGGTTAATAGACTTTTTTGCCGTATGAGTATACGTTGCCCAGGGTGCCCCACGTGGAGGTAAGTCTATCCCACACCCCGCCAAATTCAAGTTCGAATCAGGGATAAGGCCTACACGTTTTGCCTAACAGCAAATTTAATATGTCATAAAATTCATTTTGAATTGATTTATTTTATTCATGGGACTGGCTGTCGTGATGAGAATCTAGAAAAGCCATAGACATTTTATATAAGCAAGTAGAGTAGAAATATGTTAAATTAAAACTTGAATACAATAATAGACCTATCATAAGTTAGTTTGTTAGGAATGCTTTATTCCATTTCATTTGCATAGTTACATTATGAAATTTACACATCTTAGCGACGGTTTAATGCAGTTAATGGACAAAACGTCCCAACTCATTTTGATCTTATTTGATTAAGTATAATCTTCTCGTTTCTTCTTAAAAAGTAAACCCCCCCCCATTGTTCATTAACGTTATTTTCCGATACTAAGTCCTGATCAATACTGACTGTCCTATCTGTCGGTTGGTACTAAATTGCACTCCCGAAACACCAACTTAATTTTCCTTGGCGTATTTGACGACTTTGGAATGGGGATAAGGCTACGATCAGACGTCGAAAGCACCTCAATACCATCAACACTGTCAAAGGGTTAGTCGTGCACATGACACCAATTGAATACACAATCTGTGTGTTCTGCCTATTTAGGAATAATCTCATCGATAAGTTATCTAACGAAAATACTTCCTCTTTCAATCGATTACCTTCCAAATTTCAAAGTTTTGCATTCCAGTCTCCCCCCCCCGGTCCCCAGTGCGCCAGTGATTGGCTAAAATTTAGGACACGCTTCTGTCAGAGTAGAAATATCAATTAGCAAAAAGGAAAAAAGGACTTAACTAATGGTCATATAATAATTAACTCTCCATCTGTATTTACTATTTACTTGAGACACCGTTCCTGCAAAGCACATGTGAATACTTATACATGTTAACATAACTGTATGTATATTTTGCAGCAAACAAAACTGAGCATCTAAAAGTGACAAACCGAAACGGTGCAAGATATGGGAAGGGAGAGGTAAATATACTTGTAGAGGGGAAGAGAGAGAGAGAGAGAGAGAGAGAAAGAGGAACTATATACAAAACAACAACATCAGGGGGAGGGGGAGAGAAGAGGGCGAAACAACATCAACAAAAGATAGAGAGATAAAGAGTCAACACACGATTCTGAGCGACCAGATAAAGGAGGCTGGGAGGAGGAGAGGGGGGGGGGTGGAGCAATCGATCCAACCGAGGGATAATGTGCAGTGTCTGTGCAGCGCTTGTGAAATGCAGAAGGAAAAAGAGTTGGAATGGGATCGATGCCTCGAATTCACACAAATCGTAGACAATGTACTGATTGACCACCCAAATCTACAGCCACTAGGCGGGGGTGAGAAAAGGATGAGGAGGACGTATCTTGGGGCAATGCAGCAAGGCCAGCAAGCCGCCGAAGTCCAGGTTCGACCTCCAGAGCGTAAGCTTGTTTTCTAATCTGCCGCATAAGACTAGCACCAAGTTCTTCCCCACTACTACCGTTGTCAAGGTCACTATTGTCAACACCATCTTCGTCATTTTCCACCGGCTCTGTAATAGCACCACGCCAAGCACATTCTGGGAAAACAATTACACATGATCGCGATCGGTCAGTGTGGGTTGCCAAAAGACATTCACCAAGGTCGGTGGATGTTTGAGTTGATGAAACACCACCAAAGAGACCTCGAAGGGAGGAACTGGACGTGGTGCTTGCACCACTCATTGAGGAAACGGGTCGAATGAGAGAACTGCCAACAGAATGTCGCAGTGAACTAAGAGTCAGTGTACTCCCAGGAGTAGAAGAAAGGCCTCCGTTGTCAGAACTGTTTCCTGCAAGACAAGAGACACTTCGATGTGGAGTAGAAGTTTGAGTAAGGGCAGAAGGAAGGCACGTTCCTTCCGCGTCAATCCCAATACGAGTTGAATTTGAGGGTTGTAGATTCGGCTGGAGTTGTATACCAAGAGATGCACTACTCAGGGGGGCGTACAAGGTCCCCATGAAGGTTCCTTTGGAGGAGTAGATCTAGATAAATAAAACATTGTATTGTTAGAAGTGAAGAACAAATCACATCAAAATATCAATAAAGTGACTACTAACTCTCAACTCAGATCCCGCAGCAAGCACAATCTCTCCTGAGGACATGACGCAGATTCCCGTGACTCTTCGCAACGCATCATTGACATATCTCTCAAACTTCCGAGTTCCGCGCATACTTCCCGAGAGATTCGCAGTCCCCTGAGCCGATAAACCACCACCTCCGATAATTGGATGAACTTCACCGTTTTGACAAGCAAAGACGCAACCTGCTCCATTGTCTGCCACTAGAACTCGACCAGTATGGGGACAATAGCAAACACTAGTAGGTTCCATGAATAGAGGACTCCTTATTTGATCAATAATCTGAAAAGCGAAAGTGGCACAGTTGCACCGCAAAGAAATGGAAACTATTTAGGTAATAGTGTGCACAACCCACCTCATTGGTGCAGAGATTGAGTAGCATAAGCTCATTAGCACGCCAATTGACGATCCAAAGGCCTTGAGGACAGAGAGTCATGCCAGTGGCTGCTTGGCCTTTAAGGGCGTCATTACCGGTGAGAACAGACTTGATTTCTCCGGTCTCAGCATCAGCAACAAGGAGGCGACTGTTGCCAGTGTCTAGGAGTAAAACGCTAACACCGGAGGTGTTAAGATCATCTGTGTCGGCAGTAATCTCCGACTGCAACACTGCAACAGCAAAGGGTTGAACGAGACTTCGGTTGTCTGGACCTATGAATTGAAATCCATCATGCTGATAAAGTTTGGCAAAGTTTAATAATGTGCCAAATGATACACAGCAAATATGCATTAAAGTACAGGCGAATGAAACAATTACAAATAAAAGTAATCATGGAACAATTAAGGCCTCTTATAAAATACTAACAGAGAGATGTCAAACATAAGTATGTTAAATCAATGCTTAACCCAAAGACTCTAGATTAGAATGAGGATTGATTTAGCCTACTGGAACTCACGTACAGAACGCCCCAAGGAAGCCACGTCTTATCTAGATCGCAACCATTTAGACTGACAAAAGAGGTAAACGTGATGATAGAGGGAGGGAGGGGGGGGGGCGATCATATTGGAATCGCAATGAGAAGTAGATATTACGATTAGCCAAAACATCAATAATAAGTGAAAGAGGCAATTTGGCGGACGTGTTAAAGGAGCGGACAGTGTACTCACCCAAATGATGAATCCTTAACATGAACCGACGGATAGAGCATCATTTTAAGATAATCAAGAACTGGCACTCGGATTAAATGGACTACTGAAGAAAATGTAAGATTTTTCCTAACGCAGATCCAAAAGCACTGAGAAGTAGTGAAGGTGGATTATGTTTTCCTGTCCTTAAACGGTCCATATAAGAGCAAACAGACAAAATTCGGTATTGTTCAATTTACAATTAGAACTAAAACCTCTTAATTCGAAACTAAACCACCACCTTTACAGATTGAAGTGCAAATAAATAAGACACACCAACCGCAGGAAGGAATCAATCTCGCTCTTATTTGTCCGAATGCCCTGACAGGTAGAGTCTAGAGGGAGTATTTTGCTTTCCAGGAACTTATTTGACAAAATAAAATACAATTTGTAGTACCGATGCATTAAGGTGAACCTGAATACTGACACTAAGCTAGTCCTCGCCACTACTGACACAAAACATACTCATCACACAACCTTGTCAATTGCTTGCGTGTAACGGCAATCGTGAATCGATTAGCGGCTTAACCGCGTAACTCATTCCTTGGTCTGCAAACACCACCGACTCTCCTACTCACCCCAAGCAACTGCTTACTGGTCTAAACGCCAGGTACACCCTGTCGTACCAGGAATTGTGAATTCGGTAATATTTGTCTAGAAGGAAAGTCAATTTTGGAGAGTTTAGGCTTTAGATCAAGATTTCTGCGTAGCTCCAGTTGTAGTAGAAAAAAAACGTCACGTCTTGCGACCCTGCGAGTTTTGGGACAGAACTTAGCTCTCAATAGAAGTGGAGAGAAATGTAGTAGAAGCCTCCACGATTCCGATAAACGAATACTTTGTGCCTGTCTCTGCCGCCTCCAATAGTACAGTAGTGGAATTGGAAGAGTTATGGAAGGACAAACAGCTTAGCAAGCTCCAACTACCCCCCCCCC